CGCCCGAATCCACTAAGCCACCCTTAGAAACGTTTAAGGCCGCGATGACGGCGTGCCCGAATCCAACCACCCCTAAACGTAACTCCGTGTTGACACTAGGGTATAAAACATGTATTTTATTATGTTCTGTACAATATTTTCGTTTACTCTTTAAACAAGTACTGATACGAACTATCAACAAAGTCATAAACGACATAATGAAAACAAGTCATGATGAATCAAACAAAAGATTAATAAAACAACGTTTAAAGAATGTTAAATGTAGTTCAGGTTATATGGTTCGTTTTCGATAGCAGTTTTACAACGTGCTAGTTACAACTAGGTAAGAAATCACCTTACCGTCCCTACGTCCCACAATTTCAGCTGGGCTTATGATCACTATGTCCATTTGATGACAGATTAAGAATATGGAATGTCATCACCCCATATTCATTGCGTGGGTGTCGTAAGAGTCGACTATGTGAGCAAACTACGCAGGACAACAGGAATGCAAAGAGAAGGAAAAATTGATAAAAGCCATACACCATCTTGTCTGGCTAGCTTGGTATAGTAGGCTGAAACCTTACTTGGATATTTCTTACTTACGTTACTTGGAAAGATCGTATCATGATGTTAAAGAAACAAGAAAAAGAATGTTCAAATTAGACTGATATTTCCAGAGTGCATTTAACTAGATGAGAAGATTCTCCAGCTTTGTTTTAGCTATAGATAGAGTTTATATTTATCACTAGACATTATGAGGTGTTAGTTTAGTTTATTTTTTTCTTTTTTTATGGTATAAGGAGGCAAACGAGCAGACGGGTCACCTGATGGTAAGCAACTACCGCCGCCCATGGACACCTGCAACTCAAAAGTCAAAAGTAAGTGCGATGCCGCCCTTGGAGTTCCTCTCGCTCAGGTCAGCTGGAGGGGGGATTTGGACCCGGCCCATTCGTACCGAAGCATGGCTCTCCCACGGTTAGTTAGTAAATGTACGAAAAATAAGAAATATTAAGTGTTGTATAACATTACACAACCAGTTCTTGAACCCGACAGTCTACGTTTACTGATATCTGGGTGAGGTCAATGATATTTGATAAATACACACAGTTAGGGAGCGTTCACAATCTGTTTAATGTTTAAATGTACATGTATTAATTGACATGTATTCATTTGTATTATTTCAGATACATTGTTAAAAACATCAGGTTGTGAAGTCAGATTTTCTGAATAAAAAAGATGAAAGTAAACTCTCATCGTTTTGTCGTTGACGTTTTGTTTTTTATTCGTTTACCTTGAGAAATCCGGGAAATATTATTCAACATTTTAGTTAATATTTCATGTTTTGTAACAAACTTTCTTCTTTAAAAAGACAACTCCCGCATTAGAAATATATTCCTGTGCCGCGGGTGACTTCACAAACATACATGAAACGGACACAAAGAACACCCAGACTCAGAACAACAATATGTGGATCACACAAAGTGTCGTCCCATATGGGATTTGAACCCACAATACTCGGCGTAGTAGGAAGCGGCGTGGCAACCGCTTAAACCACTACGCCATCCGTGCAGTCATCTCATATTAGACACATGAAGGAGTAATTGCTTGGTACTAATGAACATCATTGTAAGAGTACTGCCTTTATTTTAAACGAACGCAGTATTAAGATACGCAGGATAACTTGAAACAAACTGTACTGAGCCATCTGGCCAGCGTCGACCAGAACCTCCTTTCTAAGGAGAGGCCTATGTCCAGCAGTGGACTACTAAAGGCTGTTGATGATGATGATTAAGAACGCAGTATTCAGTCTCTAAAATACTCTTTTTACTCTCGTAGTCAGGATTCGAAGAACGAGATAAACTTTGTTAAGATTATGATATTAATGGGGATATAATGCATCAAGACAGAGAGAGATAGATTTTTCTGGTTTTTGGCAAGACAGTGTGTACATTATCGGTACAAAGTGCATTGATTCCAGTGATACCCGTTTAAAGCAAACTTCAGTACCTCAGAGTAAGAAATTTATTGAACGTATTGTGTATGCTTCAATACAGTGCTTGTAAACAAATGATAGTGCGATTCAATTCGACACTAACGCCATCTAGGGCCTAACATGGTAATTATTTTATTACTAACCTATTTTGTTTAATAACAGTACATTTTTTTCTTATTATTTATTACCACATTAGCTTTTATGTTGTTTTATTAAATTCTGTACACAGGGCATTACAAAGATCTTTGTCTCATCTTCTTATGATTATTGCATATGCAAATCAGTTAATCCTTTCAGATTTGTTAATTAATTTTAAAACATATTATATAAATGTTGCGTCTATACAAATATATAATATACAACTTTGTGTTCAATCCCTTACTTATTCATATTAATTGTCAAATAAAATTAGCATCATGTGTAAGAAGTTCTCCGTCTTATATTTTGCAAATTTTATACAGAATAGTTTCAAATAATGTTGTTTAAATTGATATATCTCTGTTTATTATTCAGTATTTGTGTTTGTGATGATAATGACTATGATTATACTGATGCAGTAATAGACATGTTATTGAATGGTGTTAGCCGGGAAGTCGGGGATTCGGATGAAATTGATGATGGTATCAATTTTTTTTTTTTATATTTTTTTCCATTTCTTGCATCATGTTTGCAATTCATCATCATCATCAACAGCCTATACTAGTCCACTGCTTGAAATAGGCCTCTCCTTAGAAAGGAGGTTTTGGCCTACTATACCACGCTGGCCAGACGGGTTGGTATAGGGTTTGTTTCAAGGGGTGCTGGGCTAGAAAACCTCCTCGTGGTGCACCCTGGAAACGCTGGCGATGGTACTGTTTCCTCCTTGTCCTCTTGGAGGAGAGGATTATCGCCAGCGGCCAATATTCTAGCAGAAGAGGCAGCCGTTCATCGGCTCTCGGGCAAGGCCTGGTCCAGCAGGGTGGGCGTGTCTGCCGGTTGCCCTGCTGGCTCTTCGCTCTTCGGAGCATGGAGGAGGAAACCTCGGTAAAAAACCTGATGGTGGGGCCCTGTAGGGGCCACAGTTTCTCCGCTGATAGCGGTGGAGAAAGGAGGACGGGCTCGGCGTGTACTCACACTACCACCGAGCAGGCAGGGGGACGTAGTCTCCCTGTCAACCGTCGGCATATCGCAATCCCGAGAAGAGCGCCGGTGGTTAAGTCTCGCGGCTCTGATCGGGGGCGAGGGTCTTGGCTTAACCGCCCGGACCGCGAGGAAGATAACCGTCTCTAAAAAATTCCCCGAATCCCGTGTTCTGGTGCGTGGCCAGGGGATGCATGGCTGATGGGAAGTTCAGTCGCGAGCGCACTCCAAGCCGAGGTACCTGCGGACCCCTCGGTTGGGTTAAAAACTTACGCTTGCCCGGGTAATGGGGGATCTCTGCCCGGGTGGACCTTTAGTTCTCCCCCACTCGTGGGATTTACTATGGATAATTTGCAAAAACCAAAAAAGACGATCGGAACCAAACAACCAACGAAAAAGGCAAGCCTAACGGAAAAGGAAGCACAGCGAAGGAAGGAAAAGCAGAACAGTGGCGCGGATGGGTCGTCCACTGAGGGCGAGATGGTGTCGGGAACGCCTATCTCGATGGGGCTCCAGAGGTCAGTCTGACTCTGGTCACTGGGAGCCGAAGAGCATCGGATCGGCTGCGTTCCGGATCCGCCGCTTCATCGGATGGCGCGGAGGCCATGGAAGCGGAGCGGAGCGACAGCCGGAAACGCGGACGCTCAGGGGACGTGGAAACCGACACGTCCGGCGAAATGATGCCACCAAAGGTGGCAAGCAGCCGCCGAGGGAGGGCGCGCAAACCGGCCTCGGTCGCGATCCCGTCAGGCTCCGCGTTCTCCAACGCGGGAGTCGTACAGGAACGTACGGGTGGACGGCGAGGCCGTAGCGGAGGAGGAGATCGCGGATCTCCTGCTCAAGGTTCGGGAGCCGGTGGGGGGAAATGCCCCCCAGGCTCCCGTGTCCGTGCAGGAGAGGGCTGAAAGCGGCGGTGGCCGTCATCGACAAGGTGGCCACCAAATCCGTGAACCTTAAGGGGGTACCCGGTTTGTTTTGGGGGGAACAAGCAGACGGGTCCCTGATGGAAGAAAACTCCGCCGCCCTTTGGAAAACCTGAAAACTCAAAAGTAAAAAAAGTAAGGTTCGAGCCGCCCTGGATTTCCCTCTCGCTCGGGTCGGCTGGAGGGGGTTTGGGGACCCGGCCCATTCGTACCGAACATGGCCCCTCCCAGGGTTTATTAGTAAATGTCCCGAAAAAAAAAAGAAATTAAGTTTTGGGTTAAAACTTACAAAACCAGTTTTTTAAACCCGGGACAGTCTACTTTTACTGATATCTGGGTGGGGTAAATTTGATTTTTGGGATAAAACACACGTTAGGATTTTTCACAATCTTTTTAAATTTTTAAAATTTACATGTTTTAAAATTGACAGTATTCTTTTGAAATTATTTCAGATACTTTTTAAAAAAAACACAGGTTTGAATCAGTTTTTTCTAAATTTAAAAAAGGGTTTAAAAAGAAAATTTCTCTTTCGTTTTGTCTTTGACTTTTTTTTTTTTATTTTTTAAACTTGAAAAACCCGGGGAAATATTATTCAACTTTTTTGTTTTTTTTCATTTTTTTGTAAAAAACTTCTTTTTTAAAAAAAGAAAAACCCCCCCCGCATTAGAAATATTTCCTGTGCCGCGGGGATTTCACAACATACATAAAAGGGGACAAAAAGAACCCCCCAGACTCAGAAAAAACAATATGTGGTCCCCACAAAGTGTGTCCCATATGGGTTTGAACCCCCCCAAAACTGGCGAAAAGTGGGAAAGGCGGCTTTGGAAACCCGTTTTAAACCACTACGCCATCCGTCAGTCACCCCATATTGGGACACATAAAGGGAAAGTAATTGTTTGGGGTACTCTGAACATCTTGAAAGATTTACGCCTTTATTTTAAACAAACCCCAGTTTAAGAAAACCCCGGATAATTTGAAAAAAATGACTGAGTTTGGCCACCCCAAAGCGTCAAACCAAAAACCCTCCTTTCTAAGGAGATTTTTTCCCAGCAGGGGACTAAAAAGGCTGTTGAGATGAGGGTTTAAAAACGCAGTTTTCACCCTCTAAAATACTCTTTTTTACTCTCGTAGTCGGGATTCGAAAAACAAGATAAACTTTTTTAAGATTATGATATTAATGGGGAATAAATGCATCAAGACAGAAAGAGATAGTTTTTTCGGGTTTTTGGAAAGGACATTGTGTACATTATCGGACAAATGCATTGTTCCCAGTGATACCCTTTTTTAAAGCAAATTTTCAGTACCCAGAGTAAAAATTTTTATTGAACTTATTGTGTATGCTTAATAAATGCTTGTAAAAAAATGATAGTGCGTTTCCCAATTTTCGACACTAACGCCTTTCTAGGGCCAAAAACAGGAATATTTTATTAAACCTTTTTTTGTTTAAAAACATTACTTTTTTTCTTATTATTTATTACCACTTTGCTTTTATTTTTTTTTAAATTAAAATTTTCTGTACACAGGGCATTAAAAAAGATCTTTGTCTCATCTTTTTAAATGTTATTGCATATGAAAACAGTTAATCCTTTCAATTTTTTTAATTTAAATTTTAAAACATATTATAAAAATGTTTGCGTTAAACAAATATATAATATAAAACCTTTGTGTTCAACCCTTACTTATTCATATTAATGTCAAAAAAAATTTTAGCATCTGTGTAAAAATTTCTCCGTCTTATTTTTTTGCAAATTTTTACAGAATAGTTTCAAAAAAGTTTTTTAAATTTGATATATCCTGTTTATTTTTTCTATTTGTTTTTGTGATGAAAATGACATGATTTTTACTAAATGCAGAAATGGACTGTTTTAAATGGTGTTACCCGGGGAAAGGGCCGGGGATTCGGATAAAATTTGATGATGGTAAAATTTTTTTTTATTTTTTCCCAAATTTCTTGCATCATTTTGCAATTCATCATCTTTCATCAACAGCCTATACTAGTCCACTGCTTGAAATAGGCCTTCCTTGGGAAAAGGGGGTTTTGGGGGGGCCTACTATACCACGCGGGCCGCCGGGGGTTGGGTTTTATGGGTTTGTTTCAAGGGGTGCTGGGCTAGAAAACCCCCTCGTGGGCACCCGGGAAAACGCGGCAGGGTACTGTTTCCTCCTTGTCCTCTTGGAGGAAAAAGGTTTATCCCCAGGGGGCCAAATTTACCCAGAAGAGGCACCCCTTCTTTCCCCCTTCGGGCAAGGCCGGGGCCCAGCAGGGTGGGGGGTGTCTCCCGGGTTCCCCTGTTTGGCTTTTTGGGGCTCTTGGGGAGCATGGGGGGAGGAAACCCCGGTAAAAAACCCTGATGGGGGGGGGCCCTGTAGGGCCCACATTTTCTCCGCGGATAGCGGTGGAGAAAGGAGGACGGGCTGGGTTTTTTTACTCCCTACCACCGAGCAGGCGGGGGGGACTAGTCTCCCTGTCAACCGCCGGCAAAATCGCCAATCCCGAGAAGAGCGCTGGGGTTTAAGTCTCGCGGCTCTGATGGGGGCAAAGGGTTTGGCCCTTAAACCCCCCGGGAAACCGGAAAGGAAGAAAAACCTCCTAAAAAATTCCCCGAACCCCGGGGTTCTGGTCCCGGGGGCCAGGGGAGCAGGGCTTTGGGAAGTTTCAGTCGCGAGCGCACTCCAACCGGGGGTCCCCTCGGACCCCTCTTTTGGGGTTTAAAAAAAACCCTTACGCTTGCCCGGGTAATGGGGGTTTTTTTCGGGCCCCGGGGACCTTTAGTTCCCCCCCACTCGTGGGATTTACTATGGATAATTTGAAAAAAAACCAAAAAAGACGATCGGCCAAAAAAACCAACAAAAAAGGGGAAAAGGGCCTAAGGGAAAAGGAAGCACAGCAAAGGAAAGGGAAAAAGCAAACAGTGGCGCGGATGGGCCCTTTCCACTGGGGGGCGAAAGGTGTGGGGAACGCCTATCCGAGGGGGCCTCCCAGGGGTCATCTGACTCTGGTCACTGGGAGCCGAAGAGAAAATGGGGTCGGCCTGCGTTCCCGGGTCCGCCGCTTCATGGGTTGGCGGGGGAAGGCCATGGAAGCGGAGGGGAAAGCGAAAAGCCGGAAACGCGGACGCTCGGGGGAAATTTGGAAACCGACAGGGTCCGGCGAAATGAGCCCCCAAAAGGTGGCAAGCAGCCGCCGAGGGGGGGGCCCCAAAACCCGGCCCTGGGTTTCGCGACCCCCTTTCGGGGCTCCGCGTTCTCCAACGGGGAGTTCTTACGGGAAACGTACGGGTGGACGGCGGGGGCCGAAAGGGGAGGAGGAGATCGCGGATCTCCTCTCAAGGGTTTTCGGGAGCCGGTGGGGGGAAATGCCCCCCAGGCCCCCGTGTCCGTGCGAAGGGGGGGAAAGCGGCGGTGGCCGTCATCGAAAAGGGGGCCCCAAAAACCCTCTGAACCCTTTAAGGCTCGTTTGTGGGGGGCCCTTAAAAAAAGGCCTCCTCCTCCGCTTTGTCGGGGGGTCGTGGGGGGCCTAGCGGGCGGGGGTCTTCGCCGCAGGGGGGCCAACGAGAAACTGACGGAGCGGTTTAAAC